ACTTCCGTAGTGATACTGCCTCGGAAACCCAAGGAGGGGTCGCTATGAGTCGGGGCCGACTCGATGGCACATAACAACAACAACAACAACAGCCCATTCAATGTGTTATCTATTTCTGAGAATTTAGTGTTAATCTTCTGGATTTCTATCTATAGATTTTGTATCATTTCTAATTTTTCATTTATTTTGTCATTTTGTTCTTGTATTGTCTCTTGAAATTGTTCTAGGGTTTTCTCTGTGTTTTCTTCAATTTTGTCAGTGTTTTCCTTGGTCTGTCTCTCAATGCATTGAAGATACCTAAATATAACTCTTTGGAATTCCTTATCAGGGAGTTCCAATGCCTTTTCTTTCTCAGGGATGTGTTTTGGATCTGTTTCCTGGTCCCTTGTTTCTCCTGCTTTATCTTGCTTCTTTTTGTGGACTGTGATGCTCTGTTGTCTCTGAGGCATTGTGACATTTTCTGTTTATATTTAATTGGTGATTGTATGGTGGAGTAACTTACCCACAATTTTCATTTTCTTTGGTTGGTTTGTATGTTATCTACGTAAGCAGGGTACTGTGCTGTGCTCCTCTATTGGCTAGTTGGCAGCACTTATACACTCACCACATGTCTCCTTTTCTGTTGTCAGCCTCCCATATGTCCCTGCTGTCCTTGGCAAACAGAGCCTATTCTTAGGTCACTGGAATCTGAATGAGAGTGCTATCACTTTAAAATCCAAAATGGACACTGCTTGTAAACATTCAAAATGGCTGTGCCCTCGATCACTTTAAACATCCAAAATGGCTTGTAAACAATCAAAATGGCTGTGCCCTCCACACAGCTGAAACTCTGTAACTCAGGTTGTCTCCCTCCTTGCTGTTACCCTTCCTAGTCATAGGCCACCAGCAAGTTGTCCCTGCAGCCCTTGGCAACCAGGGCTGATCTTTAGGTCAATTCTCAGGTCCCAACACCACTTGGAAATATTCAGGGTGTTGGTCCCATCAAAGTAGATGACAGTCCACTACTCTGTCTCTGTACTCACTGTTTTCGTTCAGGTTTTTCCACTAGTTGGTGTCTAATCCACTTCTGTATACTTTCTTTCAAAGCTCAGGGCTTTAGGATTACTTCTGTATCTCTGTCAATTAGTTTCTCTTTTCTTTGTTGAAGAGGGTGTGTGTACCTTGTCTGCCTATTCCTCCATCTTACCGGAAGTCCTCTAAGGCTGTAAATATTTACAGGAACAGGCTGTCCCACTTTTCTTCCTCAGAGTGACTGATGGGTTCAAATCGCCACCTTTTGGTTAGCAGCTGAGTGGTTAGCCACTGTACCACCAGGGCTCCTTACATTATCTTTAGTCATTTATTTATGTCATTTAACCAGTTCTTCTCCAAAAGAGCAACACAATTTTCTTTTAAATGAAAATGATTGTTTGTTATATTTTTAAAAATTTTTGAAGTAATACATGTCTGGCAAAAGAAGGGTATTCGCAAAACTATAAAGATGAAAAATTCTGTAATTCCACTCTACAGAAATAATTAGTTATTGTTTTATTATATATCCAGCTAGGCATTTTTCTATAAATAAAAACCTACTTTTTCAAAGTATAAAAATCAGATTTTACTATATATAGTTTTATAATGTCACCCCTCTTTTTTTACTTTACAATGAATCATGGATATTTTTGTATATTAATAAATATAGCTTACATTATTACTTTAAATGGCTACCCAAAATTCTGTTATATGGCTATTCCATACTTAAAAAAAATTTTTTTCCATTGATAATGATGATTTAAGTGTCTAATTTTTTACTTTTTAAATGAGACTTATGAGCATGCTTGAATATATATCTGTGTACACATGTCCAATTATTCTTTAAAATCCTCAGAGTACAATCACTAGGGGTAAAAGGTATTTTTAAAGGTTTGATATTTACTGACAATGACCTATTATTAGGTTGTACCAATTTGTATTTCTGTCAGCAGTTTATGAGAATGCCTGCTTCTTCACAACTTCATCAGTGCCAGGTACTTTCAATCTTTTTAATCTTTTCTTATGTGATATGTAGTCACATAGCATCTTGCTGTTTTAATTACTTTTCATGGTTACTAGTTACTTCCATTGTCTTTTCATATGTTTGTCAGCAGTTTCAGTTCTTGTTTTGTGAATTGTCATTTGCCCATTTTTCTATGGCGTAGCCAACTGTTTCATTGATTTATAAAGGCTTTTTAATATACAAAGTCTATTTAACTTTTTATCTTATATGTTGCAAAACCTCTTTCTCAGTTTGTCAGCTGTCTTTTAAATTGATTTATGATATTTTGAGGTATAGAAGTTAAACTTCAATTTCTCTTTATAGTTTCAGACTCTTGATGATACTTAAAAAGACTTCCTTCACTTACAGAAGGAGTCCTGGTGGCACAGTGGCTAAGCGCTTGGCTGGTAACCGAAAGATTGGTTGTTCAAACTCACCAGCTGCTCCATGGGAGAAAGATGAGGTGGTCTGCTTCCAAAAAAATTTACAGCCTTGAAAACCCTATGGGGCAGTTCTACTCTGCCCTGCAGGGTCACTGTGAGTCAGAATTGACTTGAAAGAATGGGTTTATTTTATTTATTTATTTTTTGGAGTCAATGATATATAATTATTTACTTACACTTCCCATTAGCTCTTTTATAGTCTTGTTTTTATGTAAATTAAAAAAAAATATTTGGTATTTATTTTTGTGCAAGGGATGAAGTGACTTTCTGTGTGGCTAACCAAGTGATCCCAGCATTAATTGTTGAGGCATTTATCCAAAAAGAAAGGAGCTTTGTTGGTGTAGTGATTAAGGCATTTGGCTGCCAACCAATAAGTCAGTGGTTTGGATGCACTAGCTGCTTCATGGAAGAAAGATGAGGTAGTCTGCTTCTGTAAAGATTTTCAGCCTTAGAAATCCAATGGGGGTCACTATGAGTTGGAATTGACTCAATGACAGTGAGTGACATCCAAAAAGAGTCTTAAAGAAAAAAAAAAAGAAAAGGTCTCTTCTCTTCCTCTGCTCCTGTGTTTCTAGAGGGAGACAGCTAAAATTGGGTATGTGACTGAAAGCAGAAATGAAAGAAACCAGGGGTTGTAGGAGATATGAATAGTTCAGGAGTACTGTATGATATCCTACAATGCACCTTTTATAGCCCTTGTCTTCTAATCCTGCCCAATGATATACATATAAATAGGCTCTTTCTTGAATAGAAAAATAGGTTCTTTTTAACCCCTTTGGTATTTTGGCAGAGGTGAGATTAACAGAATAATTCTCTAAAGATTATTAGGCATCCTGGTTACAGTGTATTCATAACTTTGTGCCTGTCAGCATTTAAAGGGGTGACGGACTTAGTAAAGCTCAAGGACCTATTTCTACTTGATTATATAGTATTCCAAGTGATGTTATCATGTTTTAATTTTTAAAATAATGTTCCCCTTTTAGGACAGAACCATATACTTTTCCTCCTGCGTCTACTAAGTACCCACCTATCCCTTCAAAATCTACTGTGGGCACTCAGACTGATTATCGGGACACTGAAGTTCAAACAGATCCTTATTCTCCAGAATATGTAGTATGTCAGGACTCAATCCCTGAGCTCTTGACCCTGGCTACTCTTACTTGGGGTGAGTTGGTAATTCTTTTTAATATTTACAGGTGACAGTACTGATAACCATGCATAGTACTGAGTTCCTGGAAATGACACACTTAGAGATAACTGTGATTTAAAGTGTTGCTATTTAAAGTGTCTTGCTCAATACAGTTACTTCATAGACTCACTTTTTCTTTCAAAAAAAGATACTTCTTTTTCATTGCATCTAGGTTTATTGTTCCTGAAGCTAACATTATATTTCAGCATAATTTTGTAGTTGCTTTGCTGAATACTTACCTCCCTCCTCCCACCTATTTCTCCCAGGGAATCAACTCCTTTTCATTGAGCAATCCATACTCCTTTACACATCAACTTGTTTTGAGTGTATAATATTGAATGTACATTCATATATATATATATAAAATCATTGTATTTTGCTTTGCCAGAAAACCTTACTGTTTACAAATGCTTTCATTTGAAACCTGAAAAGGTCATATGAAGTTGGCAGTAAACATATTATTATATAAATATATATTTTTCCATTATTATAAAATAATAATATACTTAACACTCCTTATGAACCTATTTTCATAACTTATTATGCTAATAGTACTTTACTGATTATAGAGAATAAGTTTTTAAAGAAAAATGTATTAAAACTGTACAGTCCATTATGCTACTAATCTCCTTAGGTAGATGTGATGCTTTCTTATACATATAATAATGTTTTTTTGAATGTTAAAAAAATAATAAAATTGGAAATATTTTTAGAACTTTTTTTTATAGTGGACTCTCTTTGTTCATGAATTTGAGCTGTGGCTTTAGTGGAATCAGCCAATTTACTTACTGATTTAATTGAACAGCGGGCTAGTAGGGATTCAGTGTCTAAGTGATCTGTAAGGGCCTGGGAACAGGAGTGGCAAGGAAAAATATGTGGAATTTAGAAAGACAGTGTTTCTGCAAGTGTATTGGTATATTCTGTAAGAATACCCAGGTATATTATACAGCTGACAGGGGACAAGGTTGTAGTTACTTCTTGGCCACAGCAAGCTACCCAGAGGAAGCAAGTAGTTAGACCTGTGGGCTTGGGACCATAGTCAATTGGCATAACATACTACACAAAACATTGTTCCACATCCTATTTGGCGAGTAGCAACTGGGATCTTAAAAGCTTGCAAGCAGCCATTTAGATGCAATGATGGGTCTCCCCTCATCCAGAGAAAGAAGAATGAAGAAAACCAAAGATTTATGAAAACAGTTAGTCCAAGCGACTGGTATACCATGCAATCCTCAGCCTGTGCGACTATGGGACCGGAGGATCTGGATGGTGCCCGGCTACCACTGTCGGCCAGTCGGGGTGGGGGAATCTATGTAGGGGATCCTCCTGGGTGGAACGGGAGAGCAGTGTGGAACAAAACTCAAAATCACTTTTAAAAAAAGGGGGGACCAGGTTTGCTGGTGTGATCAAGCCTGATGGAACCACTGAGACTATGGCCCCTAGCTGCCCTTCAGGTCTGGAATTGAACCCACTCCTGTGGCTTCCAGCCAAACAAAAGACAGGCATATGAGGTGAACATTTACACTAGTAGATACACTGCTTGGAGAGAACCATCATGGGAGAATAGAAGTGCTGTGTATGCACAAGGAGACAGCTCAGGGAGCAGGAGCGCATGGAGGGAAGGACACAGGGAAGAGGTAATTATGGGGAGAAAGTGGGAGGGGAGCTGTTGCATTGTGGGAAATTGTAGTCAATGTCATAGGACAAAGTATATGTGAACTGCTGTATGGAAAGTGAATTTGCTCTGTAAACTTTCATCCAAATCACAATAAAACAAATATTAAAATAAAATAAAGAGGCTTGGCCATTGATACAGTTATCTCAGTTACAGGCCCATCCCACTCTGCTCATTCATTTGTTCAATTCCTCTCAGGGTACTATGGCTACAATGATGCACATGATGGATACCAAAGTATACCATGATAACCAAATTAACTATCTCTTCTAGCAGAGAGCACAAATTTTAATGGCTGTAAGGACCTGTTGGTAATAAAGAGTGAAACAGATTAGAAATCTTTTTTTTTTTCCTGTTAAAAGAAAATCAACACAGTTACAATGATAGATGACATTGACATTTAAATGATATGTTCAGCAAAATACTCAGGATATAAATTTATGCATGTATTATATTTACAACTTTGAAAATAAATGCCTATGAAAAAACTAGAAGGCAGATTCCCCTCAAATAATAGCAATTACGTTAAGGCACTTAGATGATGGATGGGTTTCTTTCTTTTCCCCCCTCTATTTCCATACCTAAGGTGGTTGTATGCTTTGAGATGCTGACAAAGCAGTTTTAAATGGGTGGCAATTCTGGTAGTGCTCTTCTAGATTCCACCCCCATGAAAGCAGACAGAGACTGCTGGGTACATCTGGGCTGTATGTGTCTTTGGTAGACTGTCCATATTTTCCTATGTCAGAGTTTTTCCAGGATAATTCAGCTAACATTTTTCCAAAATCAGGTCCAAGGGGGGAAATACATAACAGCTCTTCTAAGCCTTTTTCTTTGCAGTGACCACTTAAAAACAAGAGCTAAAATATTTTAGATGCTACTGTTACATCAAAATTGACATCATTTGGACGCTTTTTTCTGATATTGTTTCTGAAATACTAAATATCTTTTAGGCTCAGAAATTCACTCTTAGGATGTAAAAAATCCTGACCTAGACCTGTATTGTGTGAGACCATATAAACCAAAAAGAGAGGAGCTTTTTGAAAGATTAGAAATTAGCTTATCTTACTCCCTTGGTTCTGGTTAAGAAAACTGCAACCAGAGAAGTTAACAGACTCAACCAAGGACATGGAGATAGTTGGTCCACTGTAATAATTTTTTATTAAGAGTACATTACTTCCCCCCCCCCACACACACACACACACTGTAATGGAGAGCTGTGATCCAGTCTGTGTCACAGACAATGAAGATGTTCATATCTGGTCTTTAGTTCTGATTCTTGTTTCCTTGCTCACTTTATGAATCAAATTCTGTATTCTTGGTTTCCATGCTTTAAAGCAGAGGCTCTACTTTCAGGCCTAGATGGATTAAAAGTATGCTGAAACCAAAAAAAAAAAAAGTATGCTGAAACCTTCTGCTACTGCTCTATTCATGTAAAAAATAAAGAGTTGAAGATTAGTAAGCATATTCCTACACTTAAAAAAGAAAGAAAATCTCTATAGTCTAGAAATGGAGACTTCTCTCTAAAGCAAAGAGGTTTCTGAAAACATTTGATGATAAGCAGAGGCTAAAGTCAAATGCCCTATGAATGATTGAGGCTCAGATCTCAGCTACTTTCCTGCACTGGAGGAGGAAGAACTTTTGTCCTGCCAACAGATGGAGCTGCCAGTTTAAGATTATAGCCAGAACTGAGTCAAGGACTCCTATCTGGAACTTTGAGATTCTCCTCTTGGTAGTTGAAACTTGGCGTTGACTTGCAAAAGGCAGGCCTTCTGAAGTAAGAGACTAGGTAGGGGCTCAGAATGCTTTGCTCAGCAAAAAACCTAATCTAAAGCCAGAGCTTTTTTTTTAAAGCCTACTATATGTGGGGCCTAGGCCAGGATTTCAAATGAAAAACCACGTACTTCTTGTCTAGACATTTAAAAATTATAAAGCAAGATAGTATTGTATCTGTTAAGTAAAATATATTTTGTCTTTCTTCTTCACAAGCATATATTTTTAACAAGCTAAAGAACAACTTTAAATTTAGAATTCTTATGCCTTTTGGGATTCCATAGTAGAATGTGGTAGCAAAGGGAAAGCCTGCCTGTGGTCTACCTTTTACTCTACTCACCTCTGACTCTGGTGAGGGGCCTGCATGTATGCATGTGATCATTCCAGCTTGCCTCTTCAATCTCTCTTGTTCGCATGTCCCTGCCAACAGCTACTTGGCCACTCCTTGGGTTTAAGGGTACAAAACAGCAGCATACAGCATAGTCGGCCTTCATGAGTCTGAAACTTGGAAAAGATGAATTTAGACTTTGGAAGCAGGCCTGAGGCCATTTGTGCAAAGAGTGCTAGGATTTCTTAAGGTGAGAGTAAGGAGCTCTGGTGGTGTAGTGCCTAAGGCATTTGACTGCTAACCAGAAGGCTGTCGGTTCAAACTCAGTCAAACCCACCAGCCACTCCAGTCAAGGCAGACTGGGCAGTCTACTTCCGTAAAGATTCACTGCCTTGGAAACTCAGTGGGGGTTGCTATGAGTCAGAATCAACTCCATGGCAGTGAGTTTTGTTTGTATAGTAATATAGATGTGTGTAATAAAGGACTTTCCAGGAGTCTCTCAATATTCTTAAACTACTTTCCAGATTATAGGTGCAACTAAAGTGCTTTATGGCTTTATTACTACAAGAAGCAATGTTGTTTTTGTTGTTACGTGCCCTCGAGTAGAACCCGACTCATAGCAACCCCTCCTTGGGTTTCCGAGGCAGTATCACTGCAGAAGTAGATTGCCCCATCTTCCTTCCGAGGAGTGGCTGATGGATTTGAACCAACAGCCTTCTGGTTAGCAGTCGAGTGCCTTAGGCACTATGCTACCAGAGCTCCTACAAGAAGCTATAGAGGACATAAGTAACAAGCTGCCAGGCATATCTGGAGGAAGTTTCTTAATAATAGTGTATCGTCATAACATTTAAATTTCCTATGTATTCCATCTGGCGAGGTCCACATGTATAGCCACAATTTATGTTGTTGACGTGTCAGCACCTGACAATAACAACTCTTGAATTTAGAGGATAGGAAGTGGAAGGAAGTAAATTATATACTGGTAGGTACATGAGTTTTTTCCTGCTTGTTTTTAAGGTGTTCTTGCTGCTTCATTATCCAGGTCGAGGTCTCCCAGCAGGACAAGCGGAGGTGGAGATGATAGAACGGGCCCGAGAAAAGCGCATTTGGGAAGCTACCCTTCCCTCTCTGAGTGACACCACCCACTTTGAGAAGAGGCGGAGGATGATGAATGCGATGGAGAGGAAGGAGTGGGCCTTCAGAGAGCAGGAGATTCAAAAGTAGGTTTGCAATCACCCAGACAATTGTTTTTGCACTGATGGGAGTGCTGTTAATACTTTTTATCTGTAACACATTTTTCCAAATGTATGGGTTTTAAAGCAATCCTCAAATTGCTGAATTGAAAATTGGGTTTCTAGGTCTTTCAGCAGTAATCACACACTTTTGATATGGTATGAAAGCTCTCTCTATTTTTAATTCCATTAAAATATATACTGCCCTTTCTATGTGGGAAGGTCACCAGGGAATCCAGGTTTAACCAATTCCTTGAGGGAATCTTTTTTTTCTTCTCTTCCTTTTTCTGTTTAGTATTTATCTAGACGGTCTCTGAATCCCACTAATTTCTGCAAGAGATAGTTCAGACTGTCCCTTCCTGTTCATTCCTGGTACTACTGCCCTACACCTGGCCCTCTTCTTTTTCCACCATACAGTCTCCTAGCTGGTCCTGTCTCTTATTCTCCTAGGCACTGTATTCACAGTCAAGACACCTTGGGTTCTTTCATGAGCTGATGGGACATTTTTATTTAAAAGACAAGTTGTGGAATTCTTCAATTAAGAGATAAGCTTTCAGCCCATAAATAACAATCTATTTAAGTACTTCTAGTTACATTTTCAATCATTTTAACTGGTTATATTTTCAGTAATGAGGTTGTCACTGGAAGAGTATGTATAAATGATGAGAGTCAAAAAATTGTGACAACCCCATAGCAAGCAAGAAAGAGGAAGGGAACTTGTCAAGATTGTCCTTTGTTCTAGACGGTGCTGAGACACTTTCTTGCTAATAGCAGTGCTGCCAAGGCCCTTGGCAGTGTGCTCACTATCAGACATAGTGAGAGTTAGGGACTCAGCTTGGTTCTGAATTAAAAATATGTTTATTTTTCCCCAACACCTAATTAAATATGAATCCAAACTATGATATTTTGTCAGCTGCTTTCAATTAAATAGAAAATAATGTTTGGGGCAAAGTAGGTGTCAGATACTCAATCCTATCTGCAGAGATTTAAAACTTTTTCCTGCAATTTAGAGAGATACATGTCTTCTGAAAATGACATTAAAAAAATGTATATAGAGTAAGTGCATCATTTGAGAAAATGAATAGTTACTAAACTGAGGATAATTATCTTTCTTTTGAATGCATTTTATTGAAATATAATTTATGTACAGTGAAATACACAAAACTAAAGTGACATGGGTCAATGCATTTATTTTATTATTATTATTATTTTTTTTTTTTGCAGTGTTCCCTCCCCTCCCACCCCTGGTAACCAACAAAGAAAGTTTCCTTTCATATATAAACCTTTCATTGACTTTTTACAGTAATGAACTAATATTTATCCTTCTGTGATTGACTTATTTCACTCAGCATAATGTCCTCCAAGTTCATCCATGTTATGTGGTGTTTTGCAGATTCTGCAATATTATTTAGGGTTGCATAGTATTCCATTGTGTGTATATACCATAGTTTGCTTATCTATTCTGTTGATGGAGACCTAGGTTGTTACCTTCTTTTGGCTATTGTAAATAGTGCTGCAATGAACATGAGTGTGCTTATATCTGTTCTTTTCCTGGCTCTCACTTCTTTAGGATATATACCTAGTAATGGGATTGCTGGGTCAAATGGTATTTCTAATTCCAGATTTTTAAGGAATCCCCGTACGTTTTCCACATTGGTTGTATCATTTGACAGTCCACCCAGTAGTGTATGAGAGTCCCAATCTCTCCACATCTTTGCCAGCATTACTTATTTTCTGCCTTGTTGAACTTTGTCATTAGTACTGGGGTGAGATGGTATCTCATTGTCATTTTGAGTTGCATTTCTCTGATGGCTAATGATCATGAGCATTTCTTCACATATTTGCTGGCTGCCTAAATATCTTCTTTGGTGAAGTGTCTATTCATGTCTTCTGCCCATTTTTAAATTGGATTGTTAATCTTTTTGTTGTTGAGGTGTTGGAGTTTTCGATAAATTTTAGAAATATGTCCCTTGTCAAATATGTAATTATTGACAAGCATGAGTCTGTTGCTGTCATTTTTGTTATGTGCTTTTTCATGGTGTTGATTTCTTTGTTCCATGTAATTTTCTGTGCTGAGCTTGTTTTGTTTATGAATCATGTTATCATTTCCTTCATTGCTATTGTTTTAGTATTTGCTAAATATTTGTGCTGGTCCTCTTTTTTATTTTGATGCGAAGGTTTATCATTTTTCTTTGAGGTTACTCTGTGATTATAATTTTCACCCCAAGTTTAGAACAGTCCGTTCTATCTTGTAGTGATCTTGACTATCCTTATCATTTAGAAGTTCTGTAACTACACAGTTTTTTCCCTCTTTTTGGTTTGTAGTTGGCTTCATTTGTCACTTGATGTCTCTGGTTCCCTGTTTACAACCTTGTAGGCTTATTTACTTTGGATACTTCCATAGCGGGGTTGGTTTCTAGGTTACATCATCATGTTTGTTAATGGTCAGTTGTTGTTTGCTGTTGTTGCTTCTCTGCCCAAAGGACTCCCTTTAGCATCTCCTGTAAGGTTGGTCTGGTTTTAACAAATTCTCTTCATTTCTGCTTATCTGGAAATGTCCTAATTTCACCATCATATTTGAGGGACAATTTTGCTGGGGACATAATTCTTGGTTGGAAATTTTTCTCTTTCAGGGTTTTATATATACCATCCCAACATCTTCTCGGCTGCATAGTTTCTGCTGAGAAACCCGAGCTTAGTCTTATTGGCTGTCCCTTGTGGGTAACTTCGTTTTTCCATGCTGATTTCAGGATTCTGTTTGTCTCTGGTTTGGGTGAGTTTGATGATAATATGTCTTGGTGATTTTCTTTTGGGGTCTATCCTGTTTGGGGTTCGTTGGACTTCCTGAATGGTTATGTTCTCATCTTTCATCATACCAGGAAATTCTCTTCCAACAAATATTGGACAATTTTTTCTGTGGTTTTATTTGTCTCTTCCTGTTCTTGAATTCTGATTACATGTAGGTTATTCCTTTTGATGATGTCCCACATGAACCTTAGGGTTTCTTCATTTTGTTTTGATCTTTTTTCTTATTGATCCCTTTCCAAAGAAGTATTGAGGTATTTTGCCTTCAATCTCACGAATTTTGTCTTCCATTGATTCAGTTCTACTCCATTGGCTGTTCAGTATGTTATCTATTTTTCAGAATTTAGTATTAATCTTCTGGGTTTCTATCTGTAGATTTTGTATCATTTCTAATTTTATTTTATTTTTTTGTCATTTTGTTCTTGTATTGGAAATTGTTCTAGGGTTTTCTTTTTGTTTCCATAAATTTTGTCAAGTGTTTTCCTTGATCTTTCTCTCAATTCTTTGAAGGTACTAAATATAACTCTTGAATTCCCATCAGGGAGTTCCAATGCCGCTTCTTCCTCAGGGATGTGTTCTGTATTCTGGTCCCTTGTTTCTCCTGCTTTATCTTGCTTCTTTTTGTGGACTCTGATGCTCTGTTGCCTCTGAGGCATTGTGACGTTTTTGTGTTTATATTTAATTGGTGATTGTATGTTGGAGTGACTTGCCCATGATTTTCATTTTTGTTGTTTTGTTTGTATGTTGTCTACATAAGCAGGGTACTGTGCTGTGCTCCTCTATTCGTTAGTTGGCAGCACTTATACGCTTACCACCTATCTCCTTTCCCATTGTCAGCCTCCTGTATGTCCTTGCCGTCCTTGGCAAATGGAACCTATTCTTAGGTCCTGTTTTCATTCAGGTTTTCTACCAGTTGGTGCCTAATCCATATCTGTATACTTCCTTTCAAAGCTCAGGGCTCCAGGATTATCTTTTGTAACTCTGTCAATTGGTTTGTCTTTTCCTTGTTGAAGAGGTCTGTGTAGCTTGTCTGCCTATTTTGCCATCTTACCAGAAGCCCTAAGCTGGGAATAATTTTAATGAACATATTTTGAGTCCTTACTGTGTGCTGGGTTCTGTGCTGAGAGTTGGGGAAAGGGAGATGAATAGGAAACCATCTATGACCTGACAGAGCTTTTTACAGTCCACGGGGAGCAGCAGACTATGAGACCAGTTACTCTTTTGTAGGATCATCAGGTTATGTTCTACTTTATATACCAAGTGCTAGGGGAATGATAAGATCTGCATGAGGTGGGTGGAGATTTGGGAAAACTGCAGAGAGGAAGTAGCCTCTGGCTAGATGTTGAAGGGGTGAGTAGGAAGCCATTGGTAGATGATATTATCAGTGACAATGATACATTTAATACTTAGAGAGTGATTACTATGTGCTAGATGGTGTTCTGAACCAATAGTTGTCACAATGCAGCTGCAGAACAGTAACACCAGTGTTACCTGGAAACTGTTTAGAAATACGAATTCTCATGCCCTACTCCAGACCTACTAATTTTGGGGATGGGACCCAGCAATCTGTGTTGTAACAAGCTCTCTGAAATTCTTCTGATGCATGCTCGAGTTTGACAACTACTGTTCTAGCACTTTGTATACATTAACTTATTTAATGCTCACAATAGCCTTATCTCCATTTTATAGTTCAAACTGAGGTAAGTGGTAAAGGTGAGAGTTGAACCTAAGCCTTCTAACTCTAGAGAGAAAAGTGTCTAATGGTGTGTGGCTTAGTATTAAAAGTGCCTGCCTTTCCATACTGATTTGTCACTTCTCCCCCACCGTCCCATATGTTTTCTTTGAGAAGCTCTGCCAGTGTGACCTATGGCTCTGTCTTTAGAACTTTTAGGTTGAACTGTCATCCCCTCTGCCAAGGCCTTGCTTCTCCCTTGTCAGTGTGGGAAATTGCAGTCCTTATTTGTTCTCAAGACTGCTGAATTACTCCTCTAAGAAAGGGCTGCTGAAGGGCTCCTCTAAGAAAGCCTTCTCTACCTTTCTCCCAGTTCCCTTCTCCCTCCACAGTGGGTCTTGCTAGACATAGGTGTTCCCTCTTCTCCCACTGAAGTCTTTTCATTGTTCTAGTCTGGTATTAGTCTCCTTGTGTTGTAAATGTTGATTGATATGCCTACTTCACTAGAGCATTACTTCTTGAGAAGGCATTTTGTCTTGTTCATCTTTGTTGGTTCCCTACCTGGCATGTGGTATACACTTAATAAATGTTTGACAAATGAGTGAATGAATAAAGTAATGAATATTTTCCTTTAAAAAAAGAATAAAATGTTCAAATCTGTATCTTAGGAAGGAAAACCTTGGCAGCTATGTGGAACAAATATTGGGAAGATGAGAGACTAGAAGCAAGGAGACCAAGTTAGGAGAGAGATGACAAAGACATGAGCTAGGGACAGATGCAAGAGGTGTTTTAGACAAGGACTCATAGGGGAGGGAAAACGATGTAAGAGAAGAGATAGATTTCTAGGAGATGCAAGCGAGTGGTTTGTGTGTGTGTGTGTGTGTGTGTGTGTGTGTGTGTGTGGTTGTTAGGGCCAGGTGGAGATTCAAGTAGACAGTCAGAAATTCTGGTTCAGAAAGATCTAGCCTGCAGGTGTAGATTTTGGAATCATTTGTACATGATTGGATACATATGAGTAAGATTGCTCTGGGAGAAAAAGTTGAAGGTAAAGAGAAGGGAAGCAGAGATTTATTGAGTACCAACTATGTGCCAGGCACTGTATTTAACATTTCCATATTCACTTCTTAACATAGCCTGCCATAAGCTTATCTTCTCTTTACTCACCCTAGCACTTAGTCCACCAGCAGTACCGGTCGACCTGGAACTGTGTACAAATGTCTTATAATTCATATAGGCCCATCAGCCTAGGGAGTTCTTTTACATCATCTGCCTGGCACACTCTTCTTTGCCCTTCAGAACTATATCCAAGTATATTCCTATAAAATGAAGACTCACCATCGAGTTGCCCTCTCTCCATTAAATCATTTGCTACACTTTTGCCAGAGTGGTCTTTTTAAAATACATGAGTGTGATACCAGTCCAAAAAGCAGGTCCTGTTTATGGCAGATGTTCTCTTGCTCTCTAGTAGAACATGCTGTTTGAAATACTCTGTACTTCATTATTTATTTGAAGACTACAAGACATTCGTCTGGAAGTTCTAAAGCAGCTGCTGAAGAAGCGTGAAGAGAATCAAAATGAAACAAACATGAAGAACTTGAATGCCCAGTGGTCTAAACTGCAGGAAGCAAAGGAGGCAAAAGTGGCAAAAATCCAACACAGACATATATCAGGTAATTGTATAGTATGAACTATGAAAAGTTGGCTTTACTTTGGATCTTTGACCAAGCCTCATTTAACTATGCTTTGGTTGCACAGTGGTTAAACTATTTCACTGCTAAACAAAAAGTTGACATTTCAAACCTGCTAGCTATTCTGCAGGAGCTCTGGTGGTGCAGAACCTAAGGCATTTGACTGCTAACCAGAGGGCTGGCAGTTCAAACCCCCTAGCCACTCTGTGGAAGAAAGACTGAGCAATCTGCTTCCATAAATATTTACCACCTCAGAAACCCAAAGGGAGTCACTATGAGTCAGAATTGACTTGATGGCAGTGAGTTTTGTTTTTCTGTTTTTTTGAGCTATTCTGTGGGAGAAAGATGAGGCAGTCTACTTCCATAAAGATTTATAGCCTTAGAAACCTTATGGGGCAGTTCTACTCTGTCCTATAGGGTCACTGTGAGTTAAAATTGACTCAATAGCAGTGGGTTTGAGTTTGTAATTCTTTCTGGACCTAGTGTATTAAATAGTAAGTGAGGGATAAGAGATTGAGTTCTTTTTCAAAGACAGAAGAGTGGAGGAAAAACTCACTGACTAATAAGATGAAATGATCTACTAACAGGTAGTTAAGCTATTGACATTATAGTGTGTGTGTATATGTGTGTATGTGTAATTTTTATATGTGTGCCTATGTTTGGGTAGGAGCTCTGGTAGCATAGTGCCTTGAGGCACTTGACTGCTAACCAGGAGGCTGGAGGTTCAAACCCACCAGCCACTCCTCAGAAGGAAGGTTGAGCAATCTACTTACGTAGTGATACCACCTCAGAAACCCAAGGAGGGGTCGCTATGAGTCGGGTCCAACTCGACGGCACACAATAACAACAAGCAACATGTCTGAGTAGGAAGCTCTGATGGCATAGTGCCTAAGACATCTGACTGCTAACCAGAAGCCTAGAAGTTCAAACCCACCACCCACTCTTTGGAAGGAAGATTAGGCAATCTACTTCCATAGTGAAACGCCTCAGAAACCCAAGGAGGGGTCGCTATGAGTCAGATCTGACTTGACAGCAATGAGTTTGGTGGGTTTTTTTTTGGTTTGTCTGGGTATGTGTGGCTGTTTCTGTTATCTATGTATGTATGTATGGGGTGCTGAGTTCCCCATATGTCTTACTTTCCTAGTGCTGCTATAACAGAAATACCACAAGTGGGTGGCTTTAAAGAACAGAAATTTATTTTCTCACAGTTAGGAAGCTACAAATCCAAATTTAAAGCACCACCTTTAGGGGAAACCTGGCTGTCAGCTTTGGAGAAAGATCCTTACCTCTTTCACCTTCTGTAGACCTGTCATTCCTCATTTCCTTGACGGTCATCACATGGCATCTGTTTCCCTCATTGTGCACTCTAATCTGCTTTTTTTATAGTTCAGAAGTGACTAGGCGTAGGTCATACCCTACACAAATATGGTCTCACTAACAAAGTAAACCTTAATTCCAGACGGGGTTACATCCAAGGATTAGGATTCCAATACCTCTTGTGGTGGTGGTGGTGGGGGCACAGTTTCAATCCATAACATATGCTGAGGCCCTAGATAGAAAACAATGTTTCTTGACTTTTTTTTTATTCAATATTGTCCCTAAGGAGTCACTGTAGACATTTCTTTTCCTTGATCCCTTCCCCCATATACTACAGACATACTATTTATTCATTTATGTACTATGCTTTTTACATAGAAAGAGGAAGTGTAAAGATTACTCTTTTTTATTCAGTGCCAGGTTAAGTGTGACAAAATAAAAATTTTAAGTTAAAATTTAGATTAAAAGTTTTCAGATTATTAACATTATAACTGCATTTTCTGAATAATGTTTCTTTTAATGTAATTTATTTATTTATATAAATTGTAATATATTAAATTACATATGCAAATTAGCAATATATATGTATGTGTGTGTATATATATACCAAACTCACTGCAATTGAGTTGATTTAACTCCTTCCTTGGGTTTCTGAGGCGATATCTCTACGGAAGTAGATTGCCCAGTCTTCATTCTGAGGATCAGCTGGTGGGGTTGAACCACCAGCATTCTGGTTAGCAGTCAAATGCCTTAGGCACTACGCTACCAGAGCTCGCTCTCTCTCTCTCTATATATATTTATAAATAAAATAGCAATGTTATCACATTTTAAAAAATCATTCCAAATTTATTTTCCAGAAAAAAACAAAAACAAGTAAAAAATTAATTCTTTAATAATTATTTTTAGTGAATTTAATTTTGAATTTTTACTTGATTGAGAACATAACTCTAGGTATAAAAATTAACTCACAGCTCTAGATATATTGACCTTTTTTCTTTTCAGTACTTGACATGATTAATAATTAATTTTATAGATAAATAATTAAAAAAAAAACCCTATTTTTATTGAATTCTAAAACCCCAAGAGACACACACATAAAAAAAGTCCCAAAGAGCAAACATAAATATGCCCAAGGCAGCCAGTGGCCATGCAGATCACTTCTTGTGCTACGACTTTGCAATCTCAAGTTATAATTTCAGTCCTGTGGAGAGTGTTTAGCCTTCAATAGGGTGTGGGTCTGCAGTAGGACTTGGAAGAATGATGGAGGTTGTAAACATGACTCCTTAGTTGAGAATACTCCCACTGTGCACAAATGAGCCTTTTCCTCTGACAAACAATTTTGAAAACTAGAATGTGTAACATATTCTGGTTTATCCTGCCATTAGCTAGGAGGGACAGAGATTATTGAAGAACCTGTAGACTTCCCTTTGAATTATTCTTCTCTAGGAGAGCAGTTCTCCATTAACCATGAATTTTTTTCATTTACATGAGTTTCTTTTATTCATTTAACAAATTTTCATTGAATAGCTCTTCTTGGCCAGATGCTTGAGGTACAGTTATAAAAAGTTTCTGACGAATAATGATTGAGGACACTAGCTGATTCAGAGATGACAGAATTCTGTTTTTAGTATTATATTCTGGCAAAGTGATCATCATGCAATTCATTCATATCAGTAGCTTCCTTGGGAATAAAACTAGATTTGGTTTGCTATTCTATGTCTGAGTCATTCAGAACAATATTTTAGAGATAGTCATGGAGATATGCTTTGTTTTAGAGATCAGAAAACTTATTGGAAAGGCAAAGAACATAGAAGGAAAATTGGAGAGAAGAAATATCATCAAGGATTATACTGATTATGCATCACAGATCTATGGACCTCAATCTCGTCTTGGTCGTTTCCCAGACAACAACTCAGAGAACTTTGTAGTAAAAAACCACTTTCTCAACACCTATGAAGGTAAGCAACTTAGATGTCCAATATAAGAAGTCAGGATAAGATGGACCATGAGGACCTCAGCCTTCATAACCCTGAGACCAAAACTAGATGGTGTCCAGCTATCAATGCCAACCACTCAGAAAGGGATCAACACTGGAGATCCTGGATAGAGTGGGGGGGAGAATGTGGAACAAAATTCAAAAACACAAAAATGACCAGAATTAATGGTCGGATAGAGACTGGTGGAACCCCCAAGACTACGGCCCCAGGTTACCCTTTGGGCCTAGAAGTGGACTTACTCCCATGAAATGGCTCTCAGCCCAACTGTGGAAAGACCTACATGTTGGACACCTACCCCAGGTTGATGCACTCACCTACTCTAGGGAGATGCACCCCTTGGAGCAATCAGCCATGAGACATCAGAGGGGCAGCATTCACACAGTGAGAAACTATGCAGCAATGCGTAATTAAGAAGGGCACAGGGAGAGAGGGGGTAGTCACAGGGACAGGAGAGAGAGTTTGTTATGGTCGGGGATGGTAATAAGGGCATGAAATCAAATGTGTACAAACTGTTGAATGTAAAACAAATTTGCTCTGTAAATTTGCACCCAAAGCACAATAAAATTTGAAAAATAAATAAATAAAAGAAGTTTATCTTAGAAATATAGATAAAATATGTAAAATACAAATTTTAGGTTAAAAGCTAAACAATAAATAAAACACTTAAAAGAAATAACAATTAACCGGTTTAATATTATTAATAATGTAATAAGTTCATACAAACCAATAAAAATATTAAGACTCAAACAAATAAATGGATACACTATAGAATAATTTAGCAAGGAATAAATTCTATTACCTACTTAACATTAAAAAATGCTTAATGTTACTAATATTCAAATATAAAAAAAGAAATATAAATGACCTATCATTTTTCATACCAATTTTGAAATGATAAAAATAAGAATACCTAACACATTTTAAAGTATGATTAAAGTAGCACACCCATAAATTCCTAATGAAATTTCTTACTAAGATAAATTGGGAAAGCAATTTAGCACTATAAATTAAGAATCTTGTATTTTTTCATGCATTTTGGCTCAGCAATTCCATTTCTGGGATATTATATGTGTATGTGTGAAGGTTGGGCAATCCTACTTCCGTAGTGATACTGCCTCAGAAACCCAAGGAGGGGTCGCTATGAGTCGGGGCCGACTCGACGGCACACAACAACAACAACAACATGTGTGTGTGTATATAGCTCCAAAAAAACCAAACTCACTGCCATTGAGTTGATTCCAATTCATAGTAATTCCATCTCAAATCTTTGGGTTTCTGAGGTGGTAAATCTTTATGAAAGTAGATTGCCCAGTCTTCCTTTTGCGGAGTGGCTGGTGGGTTTGAATTGCCAACCTTCTGGTTAGCAGTCAAATGCCTTAGGCACTATGCCACCAGAGCTCCTATGTATGTATGTAAATATATATATATACACAAACACCCCAAAAAGCCAAACTCACTGCTGTTGAGTCGATTCTGACTCAGCAACCCCTCATTGGGTTTCTGAGGCAGTATCTCTGCCCCATCTTTGGATTTCCAAGGTGGTATCTATGCAGAAGTAGATTGCACAGTCTTCCTTCTGAGGAGTGGCTGGTGGGTTTGAACTGCTAGCCTTCTGGTTAGCAGTCAAATGCCTTAGGCACTATGCCACCAGAGCTCCTGCTATAGATATAGATATAGATATATAGATCCTGAAAATAAAATCTGAAACATGGACCAAGCTTTCCACATCACTTATAATAGTGGAAAAAAGGAAATAATTTATGTTTTCAGCAGTAGAGTATATAAATACAATGGAACTTTTGGTAACCATTAAAATAATACAAACCAAACTTTATTTGCATAAGATACGCATAAACTATAATGTTAAGTACAAAAAAACTTGTGAAAATTATAGAATACGATTACAATTCTATGTTTAAAAATGAATTAAAATACCAGCAACAATTGCCATCAACTTGATTCTGACTCACGGCAACCCCATGTGTACTGAAAGTTAATTTACTAAAATGTCAATAGTTTTCTCTGGGTGATTGGCATTTGGGGTGATTTTTTTCCTGTTTTTTTTTTTTTCATATTTTGCATATTTTCCTAATGAATATAATATTACCATTAAAATACTCTTTAAAACAAACACTGTTGGAGTTCTGGTAAGATGACAGATTAGGCAGACAAACTACACAGACTTTCTTCAACAAAGGAAAGGGGAATTAACGCAGATACAGAAGATAATCCTGGAGTCCTGAGCTTTGAAAGGAAGGATGCAGAAGTGGACTAAACTTCAATTAGTAGAAGAACCTGCATGAAAACACAGAAAAAGGAGACATACAGAGCTGCAGTTTGTCAGCGATTCTGACAGCACGGACAGCTTGGATATTGCTGAGTGGTGCTAGGAGCTAAGAATTAACCTAAAAATCAGCCCTGCTAGCCAGGGGCTACACGGAGGACTGTACCGGTGGCTGGTGAACAGAAGGTGAAGCAGCAAAGAGGGAGACGGGCTGAGCTGTGGAATTTTGAGTGTCCGGAGGGCACAGACATTTTGAATGTTTACAAGCAGTTCGACCATTTTGGATACTTAAAGCGACAATGTTCTCTCAGATTCCAGGTACCTAAGAATAGGCTCCATTTGCTGGGAACCACAAGGGCATTCTGGATATGAAAGATTGGAAAGGTGCAATATTCCCTTTGTTGCTCTTATACCCCACACCCTCTTGGTGAACAGAGGTGAGGCTATCCCTCGCTCCCACCCACCTTCTGGGGCAGCAGAAATTCCAACCCAGTCTGTGTACTCTGACAGAGCCTGCCTAGCCCTGTCCAGACTTTTTTCCTTTTTTTTTTTTTTAAGTTTGTTTGTTTTTGTCTTTTTAAAAATTATTATTTTTTAATTTTTTTTCATCTGCTTTATTATTATTATTTATTCTTCCCTTCCCAAGTTCTAGTTTTCAGCATTTTCTCTCATCTATTCCTGGTTCCCATTTTTTTTTCTTTCTTGTGGTTCTTCCCATTCCTTGTTTCTTTTTGCATTTATCCCATTTTTTTCTTCATTATTCTCTTACTCTACCTATTCTCTCTTATTGTCCCCTCCCCAAATATTGTGGGGTTTTTTTTAAATTTTTAAATTCTTTTTCTATGCATATTTCTTATGACTTTTAAATAAATAAAATACTTTTATTTCTTTAAATATTTTCCCTCATTTATTGCTTTCCTCTTTTTTTTCTTTTTGATGATTGTTTCTGTGTGTTTATGCAGTGTGTTTTTTGTCTGCTTGCTTTGACTTTTTTTTTGGTTGTTGTTTTTGTCTAACTGAGTGGGAGACAGCAACCATACCCATATGACACAAACACACCCGCTCCTCCTGCAGCTCCACTTACTGGGTGAGAACCACCACTTCCTTCACCAGCTGGCCAGTGATAAATGACCACCAGTAAGAGCCAGACTTATCCTTAACTCTCATTCTCTATCACAACCACCAGGAGACAAGTGGTGAGTGTATAAGTGAGTGCTGCCAACTAGTGAATAGAGGAACACAGTATAGCCAATATATATCCAGTATATTAGATATAGGCCCCCCAAAAAAAAGAAGAAAAGAAAAAGAAAATCTTGGGTGAATCACTCAAACATACAAGCACAAATTAAATAAAAATATACCAATGTCACAATGTCTCGGAGACAACAGACAATCATGGTCCACACAAAAATGGAAGACAAAGTGGTAGAAACAAGGGAGCAGGATACGGATCAAGAACACATCCCTGAGGAAGAAGCAGCATTGGAACTCCCTGATAAGGAATTCAAAAGAATTATATTTAGGTATCTTCAAAGGATTGTGAGACAGATCAAGGAAAACACTGACAAAATTAAGGAAAATACAGACAAAACCCTACAACAATTTTGGAAGAAAATACAAGAACACAATGACAAAATAAATGAAAAATTAGAAATGATACAAAATCTACAGATAGAAATCCACAAGATTAATACTAAATTCTCAGAAATAGATAACACATTGAAAGGGCAAACGAGTAGAATCAAATCAGTGTAAGACAGAATTAATGAGATTGAAGACAAATACCTCAATACTTCTTTGGAAAAGGATCAATCAGAAAAAAAGATCAAAACAAAATGAAGAAAACCTAAGGTTCATGTGGGATACCATCA